CCTTTCCCAAGCATGACTGAAGATCCTTTTAGTTCCGGAGGGAGGTGGGGTCCGGACCTCCGCCCCCCCCCCCCCCTGATGTAGAACTAGACTGGTGTAGCATGATGTAGCATATCTCACATGCGTGAGTGACGGTCGGTGCTGATTGACCTTGGTCACTGCCTTCAGTTAAAATATACCGCAGTCTAAGTTTTGGATATGGTGGAAGAATTGTTCGACGTTGTTGAGAACGAATTAACCTTATAACAGAACTTTTAAGAACTGTGGTCAGTAAGGACTAAAAACGCCTCTAACGAAGTGGATTTTGAATGTGTTTGTTCATATGTATGGATATTTCAGTTATTTTTCATAATAAATGCTGCGTGTATAGGGAACTATAAAGGTGCCGTCAGGTCACCAGAATATTGATAACTTCCACATACAGATTGGTCCGGGCACCTGGCGGGACGCGAAAACTTCCTGTTTGGACTATGTATGGGCCCTGAAAACCGGGCGCCACAACGTTGGGAAAAAAGTGAGCCGTGTTGGCGTAAACCGGCGCTTGGTTTGACGTGCAGCGCCCGCCGTCAGCAGCAGCCGCAGTGTGACCGGCTAGCGGCACAATAACCGCCACCCACCGCCCCCGGTACGCCCGCAGGCTCAGAAGACATCGGCCAGGTGTTGGCCGAGTTTCGGCGCAACGGCGTGGAGAGCGAGCTGGTGCCCGGCGACGGCGGCTGGACGTGCAGCCGGGCGGCAGCCGCCGCCGGCGAACTGGCCCGGTCGCTGGCCGGCCTGCACCTGAGGGGCGGCCCGCCGCCCAGCTGGCTGCCCCTGGACAGCAGCCTGTCATCCCAGTACGGCGGTCCCGACAGGGGACGGCCACGCGGCAGTCCGCCACTGGGCCTGCGCGGAGGCCTCGATGTGGAGCGACCAAGCAGCATTCCGCCGCTGAGCGTGTGCAGGAGCCCCGACATGGAACGGCCAGGCAGCAGTCCGCCGCTGAGCGTGTGCAGGAGCCCCGACATGGGACGGTCAGGCTGCATTCCGCCGCTGAGCGTGTGCAGGAGCCCCGACATGGGACGGCCAGGCTGCATTCTGCCGCTGAGCGTGTGCAGGAGCCCCGACATGGGACGGCCAGGCTGCATTCCACCGCTGAGCCTGTGCAGGAGCCCCGACATGGGACAGCCGGGGCGCAGTGCGCTACCGGCCCGCTACGGCCCAGTAGCCGGCGCTCCGCCTCGGACGGGGCCGAGCCCGCCCGCAGTGCGCTGCAGGGCGCAGACGCCTCGCCGCCGGGCCAAGGCGCCCAAGCACTGCGTGTTCTGCAAGAACAACAACGAGATGCCCTACGTGTACAGGGGCCACGTGCTGAAGGTAAGCGCTGCTGACTGATTGGTGCCAGGTAGGGGCATGCGGGCTACCCCCATCTCCACACTATCTCCCGTCACTGCCTGTTTTGGCGGACTCGTATTGGAAGCTGATTCAGAGGTCACTGTTCCGTTAATATAGGTTGAAAGCGGAAAAACTCCAGCTGAGCTGTAGAAGACGCGACATCGACAACGGAGGATAGCTTAGGCGGCCGTCGCGTTCTTGTCCGTGCCAGCCAACGGATGCATGCACCCGCAGACGAGTGTGACGCCTGTTGCAGGACGACAACAGCGTGGTGCGTTGCCCGATCCTGCGGGTGTACACGTGTCCCACGTGCGGCGCGTCCGGCGACTGGGCGCACACCCTGAAATACTGCCCGCTGCGGGGGGTCGCGACTGAGTCCGCCAGCCAGCCGCCGCCGACCGTGACCGGCCGTGCCATCACCAAGACGCTCCGCTGCTGAAACGGTGTATCCCACCCAGCGTCCACGCGTCATCCCCTGGCCGAGCGGGGGCCGGCAGAGGCTACGGCACGGGTCCCAGGACGCGCCGCGTGATGGTGATGAGTTGGCAAGCTAAGGAATGCAATGGTGCGCCGGTGCGGTGGGGTAACGCGATCTCCAGTTCAGGGATCCTTCGCCTCGAACGTCCACGACGTTGATCTTCATAATTTTGTTCCATATTGGCGCGGTTTGATGTTGGCGTTACGGCACCATGTTAATGTGCTGACGCCGGCCAGCCGTCGCACGGGCTTGGGGCCAGGCGATGGTGGCGTGCATTCATTAGCCGAGATGTGTTGTACTTGATGTTGGCGTGCGGTATCGATACGCTTATGTCGCGGCTTCGCATTGGGGTCTTCGCCGCATTGTTCGCGAATCCCTGAGAGAAGAACAAGTTTCCCCATTCATCAATCCAGAATATACCTGATACTCGACCAATATAAGGTTGTTTCGATTCCCGTTGGTTTGGTTTTGGGCGGGCATGATAGCTGACATCATCAGGGTGAATTACCACCGACTCAAATAGCTTCTCACAGCTGGTTACATCCGTTTACATTCGGCTAGGAGTTGCGACTAGGGACGCTTGGCGATCAAAAAACGGATCAACTGAGGCGCGGCTAAAACATCTGCACTGTTTGATTGGAAGACTTGAGTAGTCAAACTGCAAAGAACTGATTTGACGCGGTATTTCTACGCTGATAAGGGTCAAATCGCGCTATACGTTGGCAAAAGCACGTTGAACGGCCTGTGATGGAACGCACCAGGTATGCTACCTTACTCTGCCAGTCAGGCGGGAAGCAAAGTCGCCACGCGCAAGTGGAGCAGGTGAACACCGTGTGCGCGTCTACCCCTGCACGGAATGAATCCACACCTGGCACTGGGGCACACGCCGGCCGTTTGCAGGACAGAGTTGTCCCGTCTTAATCAGACGGCACTGCTCCGTGACGTCCGAGTCTATGATTGTACCAGCATGTGACCAGGCATTGATCGTTCATCGTGCTGAAGTTTAATTTTTGCATTAGACGTGCGATCTTTTGATTTCGCCACCAGGTCACCAGGCGTCAGTTATACATCATAGTAAATTATCAGAAAAATCCAAGGCGTCGACTCCTTCGGTAATTTCTATCGGTTGTTGGGTGTGATCAATATTAATTATATAATTATACCTCGACCTTACTAATAATATGTTATCTAACGGTGTGGTTGTGGTTTGAAACGAGCCATTGAAAAAATACTTTTCGCACGTAGCCCTGTGGCCGACGGGGTTTTCGGCAACCGATAGCTGCCAAAGCAATAGGTGCGCAACTATGGTTTCCCAATATGTGACCAGGCATTAGTCGTGCAGCCTCAAGCTAATGCTTCGACGAAATGGAAGGGATCCGAGTTATCGATTCTGCCGAATATGTGAATATCCGAATGCCACACCAACTTTGCCGGCGCCCAGTTTTCACCAGTTGCGACCGTCACAACAAGAAACGTCACAACTTGTCATATCACAGGTCTTCCGGGATAGGCACACAGACATAAATTATCTAATTCTCTCGCGTTTTAAGACATAAGGAGACGACTTTTGCCAGGGCAACGTCGCGGCTGCTGAGACCGGTGTTCGCCACGGGTCGGACCAGCCCTGCGGGCATGCAAGGAGTAGGACAGGGCCTCTGCCGGAAAACAACTGCGCGCTTCGTATGAACTCAGGCTCGAGCAGGCTCTAGATAATAATAAAACTGGTGGGGGATCACAAGGAGGGATCACCACAGACTACATTCACCATTTGTTTGCTTCCTTAGAAGGCAGGGTAACTGCATTCCCGATAAAAATTGTATAGCATGCCTTTCTGCATGCCAAAGAACCAACGACATGATATCAAAGAACGTTCAGAATATATTAAGGAAATGTACGATGGGCGTTGTCGGATTTTCCGGCTGTCCTGACATTGTCGCCACGCAAACAGTTAGCTTCTCGAACGAGCTGAAACTGGCCAACGGTAGACGGCGTATCTACGGCTCGTTCGAAGATATTGTGGTGGGGGCTTTGAACTCCAGGTCTGTAGATGCCTTGATTTCGAGAATTATGGAACATATGGTAACGAGGAGCAGGAACTCAAAGCCTCCCGGTCATGCCCTTAATGTTGGTCACGGTAACTGCGACGAATCTTTGCTACTAACTTAAATTGACTACCTTTAGTTGAAATTTTACGCGGGTGAAAACTGCTTGAAACGAAAATTCAAATTTTGCGCTGGTCAAGCCGCCTCATCGCTAAACCATCAGCGAAAGTTGTTTTCCCAACCGCAGTTACGCGTGCTTATATGCATCCATTTCATCAACTTTGATATTGGTATTTGGCATTGGTGTCTTTTGGATAGTAGTTATCCACTTATAGCTTCCGTGCTTCCACCAAGGAACTTGGAAAACCGTTTTGTTTTGATCGGCGATCACATGAGGTCGGCAGGTCAAACATCGGAGGCATATTTTTTGTACTGCCAACAGTAAACGCATCCAACTCGAACTTGATCCAAGCCTCCATTTTGTAAACTTCGAGCGGCTCACGTTAACTCAGTTGAGCGCTTTTTTATTCATCCGCGTTTCAATATCATTTTGCCATTCCATATGATGCTATTCAGCCAATGTGTTTTCAGATACAATCTGAACCTTTAAATTGGATAAATTTCGAGGATCAAAACCCACGTGACGCAGCGATTGTTGCATGAGCCCTGACCAAAATACGCGACAGTGAACGTCCACTTCAGCAGCATAATATCACGGTGAAAGTTTGACGTGTGATTCTTGACACACATAGCTCCATCTTCCGACCTCGCCTGACCTTAAGCGCAGCCGCTGCCTCCAGCCGCAAGTCACCTCAGTCCGGGCCGAACAACGAGCAATTAAAGCGACTTGAACCAGAGGGTTGGTGAACCAAGACAGTGGCTCGAACCAACTGAGATATCGGGACGGGTAAACATTCTCGACAAATTTGATTAGATAACATTTGGTTGAGTTGATACATTATTTTGTGAAAAAAGCAGACTCATGAAAGCATCAGTGACCAGAGTTTGTGGCTCACGACTGATGGTCCTGCACCATCACGCCGGTCGAGCGCCCGACTAAGCCAATTTCGAGTGACGCCGGCCGCTGCGAGCCAGCGGCGACTGACCTGAGGCAGAACTCCTTGATGTAGTTGAGCTGGAGAGCGCTGGCGTTCTCCAGCGCCACCAGCACATTCCGCTGATTGATGGCTGCTTCCAGGTACTGGACGCAGAGCTGCTCCAGTCGACACATGTCGAACTGGAACGGAGTCAATTGTCAGCTAGACTCCAGGGCCATGGGCGAGGCGAGACTGTCACGGTGCCGCCACATCAGAACCCGGGCCATCGGTGACCAGGGCTCGCTCCCAGGTCGTCATGAGCAGGGCCTTGATCACCAGGCGACGCCGTCTACAAGGAGTGAAAATCGGGGCCGCTAATCCATCTGGTGCACGAGTCAGAATGTGCAGCCGGCAGAGGAGGATCGTCGGCGAGGGGGAGTCCGGCGTCAACCAACGAGTGGGTGAACCACAGCTACCACAGCTGGGTCGGCATCTGGAGCAGTCGGAAACCACCAGCATCAACCCTTCGAAAGTCATCGTGGGAGGCCCACAAAGTGGGACCCGCCCCCCATGGCGTGTCAGCCTTCACAACGGCGCCGGGAGTAGTGCGTTGTTCACGAGGCGGCGCCGCACGCTGCGCCTGTGAGGGTGACGCCGGCACCGTCGGCGGGCACGCACGCCTCGACCCCAGCACTCGCGCCATCACCACCTGACTGACCTGCAGCGCCAGCCGGTACACGTCCATCATGGTTGGCACGATGCGGGCGCTGGCCCGGTCGCCCTGCGTGCGCTTGGTCGGGTCGATCTGGTCCGTATAGATGTAGTCTAGCACCAGCTGAAACGGCTCTGGCGCCGCATCCGGCAGTCGCACCTCCAACAGCGGCGTGTCCCGGTACGGGATGGTGGCCGGACCGAACACCTGACGGCATAACGGGACTCAGTGTCACAGGCTTGGGAGGCGTGTCCCAGTACCGGACATAACGCCTGACGACATAACGGGACTCAGCGCCGCGGGCATGGGGGCGTGTCCCAGCATCGGATCCATGCTGCGTGCGAATAAAGCACATAATCACAACAGTGGAGAGATGTGTGACAAACTGTCGTAGCAAACGGCATCGGCTCCTTGTCGTTTGCCTGCATCGGCTCCTTGTGGTGCACCTGTATCAGCTTCTTGTGGCGTACCTGTTGAAGATTCAATATCTGCTTTGGTCCACGTTAACTGTGTTAGTGTCACTCACAAATTACTTCGGCCGATACTTTGTTATATGCTATGTTGCGGATGTTGACCGTATCTGCCCCATGCGGTAATGGATGGTCCTCTTGCCCTTGCCAAAAGTTCTTTTTGTCTATCCCAGGCGTCGGACGTCCGCTGACGTGCCTATCTGAGGTGTCGGACGTCCGCCGACGTGCCTATCTGAGATGTCGGACGTCCGTTGACGTGTCCATCCCAGGTATCGGATGTCCGCTGACGTGTGTATCCCAGGTGTCCTGACAGCAATTTTGGTGCGATCCTAACAGGAACATCGCGACCGTTCCCCAACTTTCCGGTTGGGGGATGACTGGGATCAGCTCTGCAAATGAGGCACTTTGGTCGGGATTTCCAACCTTCTCCAGACTGTTTCCCAACATTTTCCCAAGGAGGATGCCCGGCGGATTACCCGAGCTGCCTATGGCGATTATGTACCGAAAACGAAATTCCCAAGGAAATTCCAAATCCATCGGTTAGGGAGTCCCAAGTTTCCCCAAGCGATGGCCGATGGCAGGACCTCAATCGCGGAAAGCTCGAAAAAGCCGAAGCATTTCTCAGACCAGTTGTGGAAACTTAGCCTTTCACAATCTTTCCCTAGCATTCCCCAACCTGTCCCCAGGCAAATTGCTGGCTGGATGGTGGGAGTGCGTTGACGTACCGGCCTCAAGCGGCGGGAGTCCGCTGACGTACCTGCCTCAGGTGGTATGGGCCAGCCGACGTACCTGCTCCAGGTGGCGGGCGCGTGCTTCGGCCGCCTGGCGCACCTTGGCGCGCAGGTGGTGAGCGCGCGCCGCCACCATTGCCACGTGCGCCGGCACGCGCGCCTCCTGCGGGCCCACGATGAACTCGACGTCGCACAGCTGGCGCGACTCCAGAAGTTTGCCGAAGTCGTCATGCAGCGTGCATTTCGGGTAGGCCGAGAACTAGAGGACAGGCCGGCAGTTAGACACAGTAGCAGCTGGCAGATGAGCGTCGTTACTTAGTTGTGCAGCTGTAGAGCAAAGAGGAACAATACAGCGGAGTTACATATCCGAACGCCTCTGAAAGGGAGGAAGTGATTTGACTGTTGATGACGCAGCCCGGTCGGCATACCGACGGGCCGCACCGAGACACGGCTTCGGACACATCAGGCTGAACCTGGAGCCAAAGGAGCCGGCCAGTGAGCCGCAGGAGGTGGTCGGACTGCCCGCCGATGAGCCGCAGGAGATGGTCGGACTGCCCTCTCGTGAGCCGCAGGGGGTGGCCCGATTGCCCGCCAATGAGCCGCAGGAGATGGCCGGAATGTCCGCGGGGAGCCGCAGGAGGTGGTCGGTCTCATGTTTTATGCAATCCGATACCCGTCCCGTGAGTCCGCTGACTCGCCCGTGAGACTTCGGTCCCCGAACCAAGAGCTGTGCGGGTGCTTACAGTTTGCTAGGCACAACATTATGAGTCTCAGCGCTCCGATCCCACACCGTCCGGGCCACAACAGCAGTCGCACAGGCCTGACCTCCGGAGTCCCCGCCTTGCCTATCAGCGTGCCACAGCAGTCACACAGGTCTGACTCCAAGGGTCCCTCCCCCGTTTAGCAGAATGCCACAGCAGTCACACAAGTCCGACTCCGGGAATCCCTCGCTCTGATGTTCGACAGGAGCGTGCCATCAGGCGGTGCCGCACCTGGAAGCGGTACATCTCGCCGCTGCGCACGTTGTTGTCCACCGTCCCGCCGAAGATGTACATGGCGTCGTGCACGACGGCCGCCGCGTGGAAGAGCCGCCCCGAAGGCAGCTGCGAGTCGGCAGACGGCACCACCGTCGACCACGTCTGTGTGTCCAGGTCGAAACTGGAACAGCCCCAGACGCGGCGGTCAGCGGTAAGTAGGCGTAAACGGTCTCGGCCGCAGCACCGGCGAGGCGAGGCGACCAGCGGTAAGCAGTCCCGACCGCAGCACCGGCGAGGCGAGGCGACCAGCGGTAAGCAGTCCCGACCGCAGCGCCGGCGAGGCGAGGCGACCAGCGGTAAGCAGTCTCGGCCGCAGCACCGGCGAGGCGAGGCGACCAGCGGTAAGCAGTCCCGACCGCAGCGCCGGCGAGGCGAGGCGACCAGCGGTAAGCAGTCTCGGCCGCAGCACCGGCGAGGCGAGGCGACCAGCGGTAAGCAGTCCCGACCGCAGCGCCGGCGAGGCGCGCGTATCATGCCTTCATCCGTGGATTTACGATGTGTGTAGCTGCTGCAGCCACACACATCACGGACATACATCCAGTGTTACATGTATAAGCGCCGTGATCATTCGCGCTGATTGCAGCGGATACCACTCGCTACCCAAAAGCTAAGCCGTTCCATGCACTAGGTCCGTATCGGAGAAGACATTGTGTGATCTCAACTCAGACGACTGCCTGCACGTTACGCGGTGCTTGAACCAGCCCGCACAATTCCAGACGTTATCGTGCTCATTCGCTTAGACCACTGCCGTGCACCAGGAAGAGCTACCAAAAAGCTCGCCCCCTTCCCTGCCGCATCCACACGCCTACTCATCCCGAACCCCTCTAAAACACAGCGCGCCGCGGAACGGCAGAGCCCAGGGAAGGGTCGCGGCGATCCCTCAGGCCCGGTCGGGTCGGCAGCCGCCGTTGGACGCCACTGACCAGTGCAGGTCGTTGGGTAGCGTGGAGTCGGCGGCGCCGCCCAGCACGTACAGGTGCCGGTCGTACGCCACCATGGTGTGGCCATAACGACGCGTCGGCGCCGGTGGCGCCCCACGCAGGATGTGGTCCGTCGAGATACGGCTCCAACTGCGACGGGGTCGCACCGAGGTCAGGCCGAGGTCACAGCGGGGTCGCACTGAGGCCATGCCCGCCTACGTCTGGCTCATGGGCCAGACGAAACAACAGGCCGCTAATGTAAGGCGGTGGGTTAGAGGTGGAAAAAGGTGATCTATCAATAACACCGAAGTGGGAAAGGGGTCTCCCTGTCTGTGAGAAACTTAGAAAAGAGGATAGTCAGTGAGTTTTCATTACCCGTCCCACGATGTGCAATGGCCTCTGCTCGCAGCACCAGCAAAGAAGACCTGCGACAAAGCAGTAAGGCGACTGACTCTCCCCACCCCGCTACTCACACCTGGTCGATGAGGTTAAACTGAAAGAGCGAGTTGGTGATCCTGGCGCCTGAGTGCCCGCTGAAGACGAACATGGAGTCGCGCGCTACGGCCATCGGGAAGTTGCAACAGGTGGGCGGGCACTCGCCCTTCTGCTGGATCTCCTCCCATACGTGCGTGTCGCCCTGCGCCAGAGGAGGGCGGTGAGCGCCACCAGCCAGCCCAGGTGAGCGTTACTCGTGACCTGGCCTGACGCTGCCGGCGGCAGGGTCAGTACGGTGGCGCCAGTTCCCGCCTGACGGCAGCAGTGACACGTCCAGCTCCACGTGAGTGACATGACCTCATATATCTGCCGCTCGTATAGGCGCGGGTCTGCAGTGACACGCTCAGCTCCACGTCAGTGACATGGCCTCATACATCTGGCGCTCGTATGGGCGCGGGTCTGCAGTGACACGCTCAGCTCCACGTGAGTGACATGGCCTCATATATCTGGCGCTCGTATGGGCGCGGGTCTGCAGTGACACCCCCAGCTCCACGTGGGTGACATGACCTCATACAGCTGCCGCTCGTATGGGCGCGGGTCTGCCAGCAGTTCGCCATAAGCCACATAGCGCACATGTTCGTCTTTTCGCCGTAATGGCATGGTCGCCACCCCGCTGTCAGTAACACGGTCCACATGCCAGTCACCTGCCGTCAGTGGCACGACCCGTATGCCCCACAGCCCACCGTCAGTGACACGGTTCGCATGCCCCCAGACCACCGTCAGTGACACGGTCCGTATGTCCCCCAGCCCACCGTCAGTGATATGGTTCGCATGCCCACAGCCCACCGTCAGTGATACGGTCCACATGCTCCCAGACCACCGTCAGTGACACGGTCCGTATGTCCCCCAGACCACCGCCAGTGACACAGTCCGTATGTTTCCAGCCCACCTTCAGTGATGCGGTCCGTATGCCCCCAGATCACCGTCAGTGACACGGTCCGCATGCCCCCAGAGCACCGTCAGTGATACGGTCCGCATGCCCCCAGCCCACCGTCAGCGATACGGTCCGTATGTCCCATAGCCTACCGTCAGCGATACGCTCCGCATGCTCCCAGAGCACCGTCAGCGATACGGTCTGCATGCCCCCAGCCCACTGTCAGCGATACGGTCCGTATGTCCCATAGCCTACCGTCAGCGATACGGTCCGCATGCCCCCAGACCAGCGTCAGTGACACGGTCCGTATGTCCGCCAGGCTACCATCAGTGACACGGTCCGCATGCCCCCAGCCCACCGTCAGTGACACGGTCCGCATGTCCCCAGACCACCGTCAGTGACACGGTCCGTATGTCACCCAGACCACCATCAGTGACACGGTCCGCATGTCTCCAGACCACCGTCAGTGGCACGGTCTACACGATGTCGTGTCGACAGTCACGGAATACGTGGTCTGGGCCTGCACTTCGAGCTTCTGGGGAACGACTTGTTTCAACAAAATTCGACACAAGTACGTCATGCAGCACAAGAAAAAACTAAGCCCGACCGACGACAGTTTAGCGACCAGGTGATCAACATGGTCAGTTCAATGCATTGGAATATCACGAGTAGGCCATTATTTCTGTCAACTCCAAAAACCTCGGCACGAGTGTACGCACGAGCTATTATAAACATTCTTTAAAAAGATTTAATCCGAACCTTTTGAATAGAAGTATTTCTGGGATCAGAGCTCGCGCTAAGCAATGCTTCTTGTGCAAGATCTGACCCCTACCATCCGATAGCACAATCTCATGCCAACGGCAGAATTTGGTGGCGAAAGCTTAAACGGCCGCAGTGCTCGGCACAGTTCGTCCTGCCCCCTGGCGTCATCTGTCCTTTATCGCGGCCGCTGCCACCGGCCGTAGGCCCCACCTGCTAAGTGAAAACAGCAGGCGCCTTAAAGCGACTCGAACTCCCCCGCCATGGGTGGGCGAATCGGAAGGCATGCGCTCTAACCAACTGAGCTATCGGAACTGAATTTAGATCTGTTCCTCAATCTGTTTGTCCCCCCAGAGCACATGAATGAATGCATTGTTTCATGAATGTGCATTCAGGACATTGCAACACCGACCGTCCGAGTTACCAGCACACTCACCACTCGATATCATCTTGTAAACGTATATATGAGGTCAGTCGACGCTCCGAATCAGACTGTGCGATCTTCAGCTCAATCCAACCAACCATGGGTGCAGGCATAGGGGAGGCGCGGCGGCCACGGCTCCGCTTTTGAACATGGGGGCCAGCAATGCTACCTGCGCCTCCCTCCCCACTTTTTCAGCTTTAATTTGCATTAATCTAGGTGCAGCACCACTGGGGATGGGGGACGGGGACGCATCGCTCTCCATCTTCGGATACAAAGGGACGGTCCCCTCTATCATAACAGTTTCCTAACAAGACAAAATGTATTCCTGGCAGTCATTTTCATTCATGGGGACCTATTTTTATCCCACCAGAACGAAGTTCCATATCTGTTAGTGTCGTAATGTTAACTTTATGGCGTTACTGAGACCCATGCAAATGACCACTGGGCGGCATTCCCAAGATTATCCACGTGCATTCGGTGTCTTCAGTCCAGTGCGTAGAGTTAAAGCCGGATGGGACGCGACTGGATCACCACGTGCTTGGGAAGACATGTACATTACATATTTCTTGAAAAGGTGAAAACTGATAACGCGAGGTTATGTCTGCCTTTCAGAGTCTCCAAGTGCGAAAACTGTGATCAGCACCTATCACGTGTGTAACACTTAGCAAATTTTTCTGTCCATCGCACACCTGGAAGCATTCTTTGACAGAAAGGTACCTTGCATGATACCGACATTATACAATATGTCTTGCATGGCCAAGGTGCAACTCCTAACAAATTGCTATCACCACAACTTGTTTAGATATGGACAGATTTTGATGACACTTATAAAGGCGTCCTATGATGTGTTACACGCATTTGGCACGCTTACCATGAAATCCCCCTGGAATTCACTCATTAAAAGAAATTCGTCCATTTCCTTGCCCCAACTCCACTCTGGCAAAGTATGGTCCATTACAATCTCTGATTAGTTAAATATTGTTTAAGTTAAAAAGGGTTCTGCCCAATCAACTGCAAATAGCTTCCTCTTCGATGGGAATTTATTTTTTTATGCGCACTGCTCAGAAAGTAAGACTGTCCAGCCGGCCCGTCGAGCCATTCTGTGGACCGGCTGGGGCCCGGCTTTTTTGAAAATCCCCTTAGCTTTGATAGCTGACCACTCTTGAAATCTGAAGAACTTGACTTTGACCTAAGGCCAAATACCTCATTTTCATTAAAACCGCCTCCCAAACTGCTCTCCTGTATAGCTTTCGAGTCTCGTGTTTGCAGAATTTGTGTCTGCAGATATACCGTCCCCTCAGGCGCTAGATCGGGACCCCGGGTACGCTTGGGTTGAGGCATCTGCATTTCGTGCAGATGAACAAAGATGCTCGTTTCAAGCTTATACGCACAAAGAGGTCTGAATTTGATATAAGGTAATCACGGACAAATAGACATTTATCTTGTCATTCAGGTCAGGAGTATGGAGTATTTCCAAGGATTTCTGTTTTCTGTCGTGATATCAATCCTCGTCTGCCATGCAGAAATAGGAGTCGCTTTTTATGGCAATTCCGTGGCTATTCCTAAGTTTAGCTTACTTCTGTTCTACCTTTAACAAAGCATGCCAATAAACCTAGTTCACCAGGCATATTTCTCAAACCGCACTGGACACAGGCACTTTATGTGGTAAATGACAGCACGTTTTATCCTATCATGTACAACGATCGGAGATGCTTAAGGACAGGCTCTAGTTTCCTCTTGTACCAAAGGCTCCATACAGTCTTTCTCAATAACGGCTAATATTATAGTCAGATACCGTAACGCTGGTAATTTGCGGATGTTGTATGGAAAGCCGGTAAAATACGCAATGCCAGGTTTGAGCTAAAATGCCGAGTTAACCTAAACGTCAACGACAGATAAAGATACGCGGCTTGTTTAAGAAAAGCGTGTACCTCCCTCCTGCATACTAAAACAGATTAAATCAACAACGTTGAAGAAGGAGCAGCTGAATTCACGGTGGACCAATGCATGCCTTGGCAGGCAGCAAGGCAGGCGTGTTCCAGAAAGTATATTCGCTGCTGTGGTGTGGTGTAAGGGAAGATGATACGGAAATGGTACAGTAGCAGGTGTCCTTTACATGCTTTACACACCAATAAGTAATATGCAGTCGGCGCGCCCAAAAACTCTAATTAACAACAACACCAATAAGTAGTGATGCTGCTCCACAAACATGTAGCAAAGCAATCACACGATCAGGTCGTAGTCATGCAGGGGACAGGCGATACAGGACAGTGACCGCCGACGCCGGAGGGGAGCGGCTTAGGCGAGGAATATCCCAAGTGAGCACGGATCAGACAAGAAATATCCCAGACAAGGGCCTTCATGCTGTGACTCGCTTTTCACAGGACAAACCCCGGCTTTGTGACTTTGTCGCATCGTTTTGGCAAGTACTATAGCAGGTAGCTTCCAAAGTCATTTCTGCCCAAAATTTTGCGACAAATCTTATATAATGAAAAACAGTCGGGAATATCCGGGCGTATGAAAACCATGGCGCACTCCGGGTCATTCCTTCGAATTTTACATTTTGACCATTCTGTACCCGGGCCACAATTTGGCATCTACCCTGTGCAAGCCGATCCCTACCCAATGACACAAAATGTCTACCCACTCGTGGAATTTCGCAAAGAAAAAAGACGCTGGTGGCGCCTCCTCAACGTAGTTAGCCTGTGTCCGCTTATCTGCAATTTACGATCTGCAATTAATCGAACGTTAAATTAGCATAAAAAGTGCATGCATGGCGTTTATGTCGTCCAAAAGAAATAAAACCGTGCAATTTGTCAAAAATCATCAATTTTCGCCGTCTTTGAACCAACGACCATTTTGCTGAACTGCGTGCATTCCACAATTAGGTTAAGCATGCGCGCTGTGAGTGCAAGCTTTCAAAAAACCCCAAACCTCGAGTTTTGTCCAGCGTAGTCCACTTTCTCTTCAGTTTTGGATGTTTAGAAATTACGATCGTGTTGAGGCAAATTAAATGAGTTATGAAAAACAAGTCAAGCTTCATTGGTTTTAGGTAGTATGCCATTCATGGGTCAAATCATGGAATGTTATCAGCCACGTAATGACGGCTTAAAGTGGATTTTCGAGCTTGAAGGTATTGGAATAAACATCACATATGACGAATTAAGCTCACTCCCAGCCATAAGTACACTTGGGAGCGTTCTAGACGGTACACTTGTTATAAAAACATGCATCTAAATACGCAATTGTTTGATTGAGTCATTGCACCTTGCACAACATCGGTTAAGAGCCGATTCACGGCCATTATATCTGGAAATCGTGTTCAATAACGCCAGGCATGAACGACTGAAAATCATATTTTTCTTGGCCTTGGCCGCCGCATGACTGACGGAATGGCAGGATTTGAATAACATTGCTTTAACGTCATGAATGCCTGGGCGATCTTGAAATAGTCTACACGAAAAAGTCTGTACATTTTCGCCGATGCGTAGCTCAGAAACTAGAGGGTTTTAGGTCTTAAGAAGGGTAGGGCCGTGAACTGCATCGAATCATCTGCAGGATGGCTACTTCAGTTCAAAACCTCATACAAATGTGGAAAATTCCATTTTAGCTCAGTTCCCGCCACCGTAATTTCGCGAACGGACACAAGTCGTTGCGGATCGTTCCGTACAAACAGGTCAGACCACTCCGCTAAAAGGACATCCTTACCTCATTCCTCAGCTGACACTGAACCTGCTCGACAAGTTATGAAATATGATTCGTACTGTCTGGGTGGCAGGGACATGGTTTCGCAAAATCACCTAGGGACTGAAAGGGACGGTGGGAAAAACTATGGACTCCCGAAAAAAACCGCAGGTCCCAGTTGACACAATGTTGAAGTACACCTAGTGATTTACCTGCCAAGTCCGAGAAGCTGCTTGCAATCTATATTCCAGGGAGTCCAAAACCGTTCTAAAGTTTCGGCCCATATAACCCCTGCACAGACCCATTTTGACTCCCTTTTGTTGTGATGAAACAGCTTATTTACACTACCTATATGCCGCCAGGCGTCTGGTCCCGACCTTTTACACCAACGGTAGCCAACTGGACCGAAAATTTCCATCGTAACGCCGATATCTTGCTTCTTCGGGATAAGCGTCGCAATGTTTTGAAAAAAAGGATTGTACCTTTGCCTCGAAGATACCGTTGCCTACTGAGACAGGCATTTCACCAGTTTTGTTTGACAACTCCTTGAAAAGTTTGGTTGTCAGTGCTTAGGGACCGGGGGAGGTGGCAAGCGGTGGACCGTATGACCTTTCCTGCGAAAGCGGCAGATTGCGCCTGGCATTACAGTATGCTTCCTCTGGCTAATGGGTATCACATAAAGTCTCTTGCTTCTATTACGCCGTCTGCACTTTCGAATATTCATCTGCCGTTTTCTCTTCGCTTGAATTGTTTTTCTGACCAGCCGAATCGTTTCGTACTATTTTTAACCGTGATGCGTCCCTAATAACTTCGCCCCGCGCCACGTGCAGGACAGTGCCCAGCAACGCACTTTTGGTTTCAGTCAGTGTATCAATGATGTACTGAAGTTTCGGTGCATCATTCATAAAACAATGAGAAAGGTGCCTTCTAGTGTCTGTATTTTATTGTCACGCACAGGGCAGGTCGGGTCAAAATATAGAAACAGACATCCAAAATTGATTATTGATGGCTGCAGGAATACATCGGCTTCCATCCCCCTCCTGTTGATGAGACCAGGATGCAGGATATGACGAGGGCTTGGATCTTGACTCTTGTGGCGGATCACCTGCAATATAACCCGACTATACCTGTAGCAAGTGAATACGCTACTTGAAGCATACAACATCTATACATAACATGGAAGGGAAAATCAGATTTAGATTCAGGACCCAAAGCTGAGAACAAATTACAAAACTGAGGAAACCGCTTGAGATCGTACACAGCTATACACATAAACACAAGACGTGAGCATCTGTTAAGAATGAAGCTTCATTCGTAAAAATGCATGCTGTTTTAAGAACGAGTCAAATTCTTGGCATGCGTCACCTGATCGCCACCAAACACAGGCACAAAACTTATACAGGTTGAAAAGAAAAACATGCCCAGATTTCGCATGCTTACCGCATAAAAATTACACGAAACACTGCCAAATGTTTTGAAGTGCAACATTCACCAAACCATGGAAATATGAGCCATGCACCGTCCCCATTTGGTTATCACTCCGGGAAGCTTTTAGGGCACGTGCTCCAGGTAAAACCCCTGTTTCGTCGGAGGCAGAGATCCACGCACCTTGCTACCTCACCGTAAATTCTGCCCCCTCCGCAAATACTTGGCTCATTTTGTGATTTCACACCTTCATGACAAGTTTCCGGCAAACTCTTCATGCGTCAGAATCATGCATGTCTTTGGCTACATTCTGATGGATAATTTCGTAAGTAATTTGGGCATGGTGAAATAGCCGTTAGGTAACTGAATGACACAGTGGTTTACCCTATGTTGCGTTGCGCTAGAAAGGCGATGTTTTTTCAGCGTTTTTTTTTTTAGAAGAAAACATACGCATTTATCACCCAAGCAGGTGGTTGCCCAAAAGACTCGTTCTTAACATGCTCTTCAACAGACCTCCACCGGACTGCGGTGGTTGACATGTAAACATGTTCCATGGCTTACCGTCAGCGACATGGTCCACATGTCGTCGAGTCTGGCGTTGCCGTCGTACCCGGCGAAGATCCACAGTTTGTTGTCGTAAACGGCCGCGCCGTGAGCCGACCGCGCCACCGGGGCCCTGCCCGGTCACGCCGCACAACACAAGCGTATCGTCAGGTCAGGGGCACGACACAACGTAAGGTCACACAAGATCAGGTGGCCTGCCGAGTGGGCACGAGTGTCATTACCCCAACCCGCCCTGGCCAAGTACGCCAGAAAACAGCGGCTTGTATATTGGTCTGATCGAGCGACTGGTAGAAAAATAGCCAACAATTCATCTGGCGGACGCTGTTTTTACCGATAGGCGCACATGTGGCTGATTTCACCGTGGCAGAATCGACTTTAACTTCGCCCACATTGCATCGGGTTACTCTCGGCCCCAACTTCCAGCAGCAAAAAGCAAATCGGAGGCGATTCCAAATCCGATCTTGGCACATCCAGCTCGATTCCAAAATCGATTACAATGGAGTCGATTCCGGTGACAGCAGTTCGGAGTATAAACCGTCCTTGTGCCTCGTAAAAGCATTCGTAAGACACAAATTTTGAAAATATCAGAGATATATACGGCGCAACAATGGTCGCACATACAATATGCTCCCACAGAGCTGTGTGGGAGTCTGGCATTTCTTACAATCATACGTCGTAAACGGTCTCTCCTTACAGGTCAAACGTCATGCATGGTTCTCCCTTACAAGTCGGCTCGGTTGGCTCAGTTGACTCATGGCGGTCTCATTCAACCCCGTTCACACATCTCCAACTCTCATCATTTGCAAAAGAGTCGATTGCACATAAAGCATAAATTTGGTTGACTTATGAAATGACAGAGTCCACCAAGACTCAATCACAGGTCTGCTCAGTCGCTGGCAGGAGACAGCAATGATCCCTGTGACGTCACGGGGTGAGCTCAGTATGTCTGCACATAAGCACAGCACGTCTTGTTGATGCAGGATGGCGAGTCGCGCAATGGACATGCCGTGATGCTTAGGGTAAACTGAGGGGAGGAGTTCCAACACACAACTGAGATCAGCCAACGCTCACCTATGGGGACAAAACATGCAAAAAACCAAGTGATCGTCGCGCTCCCCACAAATGTCCCAACGCTTCCTTAGAAGCCTTACCGCGAATCGACTCAGTTGTCACGGAGAGACATCAACTGTCGACGCTCATGCACACTTCACAAACACAGGCCTGGTCAACCACTATCCGTGAAATTTGTACCTGCCATGGAACTTCCACTCCACCCATTGTTCCGTGGAGAACTTGTATTCGTACAGATCGTTTCGGTTCCTAAGGTTTGAGTTGGAGTGTATATCGCCCGTGTAGCCTCCGAAGATTATCATCGAAGAGCCGAATAGCTGAAAAATGCCTGCGTTATGTGTCTGCTCATTTTGCTGGAATCAATGTCAGGTCAGTGTGTGCTATAGACAACTTTCTAAAAGGAGCGCATTTTCCGATCTGAACAGGAAGAGCAACATCAAACTGAATGCCATTAACAGGCTGCTGAGCAGAAAACAGCTCAGTTCACCCAAGGGCCGTCACCCTATCCCGGGTGGGGGTGGGGGTGGGGGGGGGGGAGGCGTCACCTACCACGGCTGAGTGGTGATACCGACACGCAGGGGGCGTGCCGTTGGACGCGCACTTGGCCCACGACTTTTCTTTTACGTCAAAACGCAGCAGATCGTTGAGCATGGTGCGCCCATTGTCGCCGCCGAACACGTAGATGCCGTCCTTGTAGGCCACCACTGTGTGCTTGCTCCGTCTGGTGAACAGACATTGGGAGACTGGGTTGTAGGGGGAGCAGCCTACTGCTGGCAGCTCCGTGCATTACCTTCTTCAACTCCTCTCATAGCATGCCAGTATCACACTTTTAAAAGCAGTTAAGTTGGCAGCCAAAATAGATTATATGTCTCTTGTATTATCTGCCATGAATGGATGACTTAGAACATGGGTGTGCTCACTGCTTAGCTCCCAGCACCCATGAACAAAAAATCAAGTGGCACTGGATACTGTTACTGTGTAAGCATGGTCAAGCACGGTCAAACTGTGCTGCCCCAGTACACACCTGTGCCTGCATCTCGGATATTTTGTGCAAGATGCAATATAAAGTATCTATTTAATCTCCATCTCACCTGTCACCAACAAACTTGTAGAGCTCTGGCATTCTGCGCCATCGATGTACTGTCTCGAATGGCCCAAAGTCCAGGGTGAGACAGTCAGCAGAGTCTGGCCAGACAGGGTCAAACTCAAGCCCTGATGTCCTTGATGCTGCCATTATCTTCCTCCCTGTTGTAAAAGAACAGACAACCTGTGATTACCCAGACATGCGGGATGTGATGTTTATAGCCATAATGTATGCCAAATTGATCATGTTTGCAAGATATTTATTCTTTACTCAGGAGAAATATGGGTGGGCAATTTATTTCAACTCAGTATGGGCCATGCAAGGCATACAGCAAAACAAGTAATGCATCCTGAGCCCTTCCTTGCACCATAATTTGTAATCCTACACATGACACATCACAGACCAGACACACCACTTTGTCACGATAAAGCTGAATTTTTCACAATTAAAAAACACAAATTTTGGCAACTGCACCAAACTGGTGTCAAAAACCCCTTCTAACATCATCTGAGAAATGCTGGGTCCCTCATCAAATGAGGCACCCATCGAATGAATAGAATGGGCATTTCACACCTTGAAATGTCAGCTACAACCTTATCTTAAGATGCAATAATTACACTTGCGATGACAGAATTAATATGCAATAGCAGTTGTCATGGCACTATTCATGTACACGTATGCGCGGCACTCAAACAGTAAGTGGATGGATAACAGAAATTGAGGTACAGCTTAACAGTCTTATCCTATTTTTCAGCCCCGAATAGTGAGTTGTCTCGCCCTGGTAATATCCTGGAACTGCTCCCTATTGCTTTTCGGGCATCGCCGAACCCCACCGGTATGCCATCAACACAAACAAGGCCGTGCAAAAGATGGCAGGATCATCGGGTGATTTAGGCTCCCCTTCTACTCAACGTTAGCGTGACGTCACTGGAGTCTTTTTTCAGCAGGCGCTGTGCGCGTTTCCGCGCGTTGTGTAATCTTCCGAACGAAATAATTGCTTGCCTGTTGTTTTCAGTCACCTTGGTTATTGCATCTAAAATTTGGATGGAAAATATTTTCATGCTTGTATTGATACTGACGTTGTCAACAAATGTTATCTTGTTCAGGTCAGGTCATGTAAGGCTCACTGTTCTCGTGCCTCAACCGCCGCTGTTTTTTGGTGTGTCATCGACTCGTGCGTGCTAACGGCCCTCGAGCCAGGCCAGCCTGGAGATCGAACTGCTCCGCGTCTCAAATCTGAACGTCCCGGCTAAACTTACCCGGCCACCTTGTGATGCGCTCGCTGTGAACCGCGGTACTTGGCGCGGTGTTTCTAAAGCAGGCCTCAGACACACATTCGGGAGACGACTCCCGCTTTAAACTCAGCAGCCTCCAAACAAAGTCCGGACCACGCGTTCCAAGGTGGCCACTGCGGCTTCAGCACGCTTAACACACAGATAGCTCGTGCGTCCTAAGGTGGCCGTTGAGGCCTCGACAAGCTCCATAGAACCTGGGCCAAGCGTCTCACTGTAACCTCACCAGGTTCCACCAAAAATCCCAGGCCACGCGTCCAAAGACGGCCGTCGAGATCTTATCAGACTCCTTATACAGTTCACCTCATGTCTTCCAAGGTGGCATAAGACTCTAGGTCAAACAAGCAGTTCAGTCCACTCGTCTCATAAAGGCCGTTGGCACCCCAATAAGGCGACCAGAGGCCCGTCCTGTTTTTTGTCTAAAGCAGCGAGAACAGAAGTCGCTGCGCTTCCTTCCTCTTCAGTCCTAACACGACGTAATCCTCAAACAGCTTAATGCCGACGGTGGGGCACCCCAGTGGACCGGGCTAGACAGTGACCACTGGCCAGTCAGGCGCACCCTAGGTGGTAACACCAGCGCGGGACCCAGAACAGCTACAAACTGCATGCAAGACGACTCACGCATCACTACCACCCATCCGCAAAAAGATGGCTGTGCGTAAACTCTGGAGTTTCAGGCGCGTGACATCGTTAACATCGCAAGCACCAGGTGAGCGCAGAGGTAGTTGCAGCAGTTTGCCGAACATCAGAGCGACCACGCCACCAGCAGCGTGCATGGTGTGATACTAATTGTGTCATGCCATCATGCAAATCACGTTGGCGCAATCGCGCGATCTACAGCCGCACGATGCTGGCTCGCCAGCACCGGACGCACCTAGCGCAACGGAAGCGTGCCGCACCAGCAGCGGACGGCACCGACAGGGAAAAACCCACACGTCTCAGCGAGTAGCTTGTAGTTTACTACTACCCTCAGCGAGAGTAGTAGTTTGAGCGGGGTCGCCGCACCCTTCTATAACAGGGAGGCAGCATTCGGTCGAGGGAGCAGGCAGTTGAGCCCATCAGCTCACCTGAAACCGCTCCAATGAGTTCGCCTGCACCACTCAACTCCCGTTACCGCCGGCGCACCACCGGCAACTGTCGTAGCTCAAAGTCCCGTCGCTGAGACGCCAAACGTCACCGGTAGCAAGAACAATTTCATAACCAACATGCCGCTGTGCTCTGCAAGCCTAGACGGCAAGCTATTAAAATGCAATGGCCAGAAAAGTGAGGGCGTGCACACCAGACTTATTCGCCATAGTGCGGCAGAAATATCGGGCTGCCTTCGTACCGATAACGAATATACTGTTAGTGGGAGATGTATATTGCCGGCCAGCCGATTGCGTAAATTTAGCGACGAGTATGACGCTTCACGTGACAATTGTACGTGACTAGCCGTTACAGTGCACTTCGATCTTACACGGCCTCACATCCCGTGAAAGTGCCGCCGCCGGTGGTGCGAATGAGTGGCGAGCGTGGCGAATGTGCTGTTTGCTGCTTTTTGTGTTAGATGCGCCATATGAGCCGTGCTCGGTCCGTGCCTGTCTACATTTCCCTTTGCTTGGTCTGTACTTGTCTGCGGGCCCGGCCGTGCTTGGCCCGTACTTGCCTTCATTCCGGCGGGCTCAGTCTACTTGTCTGCGAGGCCAGTTGTGCTCGGTTCGTGCCTGTACGCAGGGCCGACAGTGTTCGGTCCATATATGTCTGTTAAGTCACCGTGAGTGTCGAGCCACGAACGTTGCGTTTCTGCAACGTTTATGTGTGTTGCTGTACTTAACGTCAAAGTGGCATGCGAATAGAGTTATAGATAGCTAAATCGGGGTGCAGAACACGATATGTATCTGTGACAATTTTCTTTTTAGCCGAAACAAGGTTAGCTACACAACTGATGATTCTCTTTGTCTCAAACGAGCAGCAGTATGTTCCAATAACTGCATTCACCCCACCCCTGAGCATAGTATGTTTGGGCAGTATGCTGAAACAAAGGAGCAGAGGGCACACAGGGGTAAAGGGACAAACGACAACAAAGAAGTTCAAACAAACAATGGACAACACGTGCGCCTGCGTAAGCCTGGTCCATGGTTAGCTGACAAAATATGGGTTTTCCGTGTTAAGTACAGCTTCCCGCAACACTGTGCCGCTTTATCACGAAAAAAGCGATTTACGAACAGCGCTCAGGGTAGGACGTTAGCCGACTCCCGCATAGGCGCAAGGGCGACGAAAGTTCTTCTAAGTTGGGGGGGGGGGGGGGGATGGGGAGTGATAGGCACTAGTTGCATCGTTCCAGTAAAGCCCCATGGCATAAAAGCTAAATTTTAGACTGTTGAGGAATTATCCCCTGCCGAGTGCCCGCACTAGTGCCCTAGTGTAGGAATATTTACTTCCATTGCCGATTGAATTTTAAACGACTTTGCTGAATATCAGCTCGTAAAGCATATGCCCATCCTTGCTGATTGGTTGGTGAATATACGCATTCGCCATAAATCATCTTCTTGTTACTGGGAAGAAGGTAGCCCAGTATTTAATCTGCATATCACCAAAAGTCCACGCGTGCACGTTTGCACTTCTTACGCTGATAACATTTTAACTGCTAGGCACATACATGCACATCTAGTACATTATCATTCTCCCTCTCTGATATCTTGAACCTAATCGTCTAATCGCAGATACTCAAACGGTTATTGGTAATCCCGGTCAACTCCAACTAGACATTGATTTCACATACATGACATGCTCGAACAAAATCATTGCAGTCTTGAGTGACTTTAGAGCAACTGAAACTGTTGTTCTCAAACTAATATACAATAGTATACCTACAATGTTGGAATATACAATACCAACAATATGCCTACAATATAGCAAGTATACCTACAATACTGGCCGTGTAGCTGTGTCAATTGGCTGAAGAGTGAGGTGTATATCATTCTTCACTTATCTGAGCAGCTCCTTTCACATTTATGCTTGCAAAGTACTGGAGTGAAGCATTCTGTTCAGATTGTGACACACCTGCTTTGCTCGCCATGGACGGATGAAAGAAAGCTGAATGCACCATCGCCGGCCACCGTCTCCTATACAGCACGTGCCAATTTCGACGTTCTGCTTAAAAATTTATGCATCGAGGACTGAGCGATCAAGTGGTGGCGTTTCGACGTCGCAAAGAAGTGAATTTGTCACCCTTTGGATACAGTTCATGTCTGAATGTGATTTTCCGCAGAAAATCGAGTAAATGGGTGGTAAGGGCAGGAAATGAACCGGTACATGCGGTGATGTAAATTTCGCCGCGACCTTGGCGACAGCTCCGACGGCAGCGTGTTGTCTTCGGCGCCGTTTTTCCAAGCGCCGACATTACCGACTTGCCCGACGATTACTGGCGCAATCGTGTGTTACACAATTTCGTGTTACTCACGTGAAATACGGACGGTACGCTGGTCGATGCTTTTAAGATGGATTCACGCCCCCATCGGCTCTGGCTGCCGAGTTGTGGCATAAAACGTGAAAAACCGTCGAAAACGGAAAATCCATCTTCAGCATTCTGTGCACGTGACACGTTTGTGGTGTCACGCCATGTGGCACCACAAACTTGCCAACACCAGGTTCTTCATTCATTTTCTTGTCGAGCTGTGCAAATTTCGTGTCGCTCACACCCCTCGTGGCTGAGCTTTGGCCACGGTTTGGAACGGCTGCTTCCTCATTTCTTGAGGGTTGCTTCTCCAGGCGTTCGTCAATAAAATCTAATGGGCCTAAAAACGGCACTCCCGAGTGCCACGCCCAACCCTAGACTGTACCGGCTCGTGAACTTTGGTGGGAAGCCGCCTCCTGTGCACATACATCGTGTGCAAATTTGAGCCCTTGTCGCCCACCGTTAAACCTGCAGACGGGTCAACGTAAAAAGGCGACAACCAGACCGACAGACCGGACAGACAGAATGACCGAAACACAGAAGACAGAGAGACAGAAGGAGAGAAAGACAGAAAGATAGAAAGATACACCGACAGAAACACCTTACTTAAATGCAACCGCAGCGACGCAGCAAAAAGCTAAAGATCATTTAAGGCGCACAACTCCAGTCATCATACGCCTCCTTTCCAAATTGAAATCAACAGATGTTCAGGTTTTAAATGCCGCCCTCCAATGCCGAAACTTCAAGGGAATCCGTTCTGATCGCCGCTGTCAGCGCCTGTTCCCATACGACGTATTTATGTGTCACCTGTCAGTTATACTGGGATATTCATTTGGCACACTGCAGCGATTCCAAAACGTATATCGTGAAAATTACGTGGGTGCTGTACCCATAGCTGCCTGCATCGGTTCAAAATACGGCTGAAGAACTGAATACGGCCGGACGCCGGCTCACGAACAGCGCGTGCGATTTCAGTCGTTTTACTCGCAATACTCGCGGCGGTGACCTGGAGGTCGAGCGGCAGCGTTTCGACGTCGCGAGCAAACGAAATCATACAACGACGGAGCACTTTTTCAGGATTGCCCATTCGACG